CGACGCGCGCGCGCTCTCGCGCGTGGTGGTTTCTGGGTTGCCCATTGCCCGCAATCGCACATCGCCACGTTGGCCTGGCAACTGAAGTGGGCCCTTAGCGGTGAACGGTTGGATTTCCGACTTAACATGCAGTTTGTACAGGTCTGTCCTTTCGTGAACCACGCGCGTTCTCGCGCGCGGAGCATTCCGCGTTGCCGCAATGGGTCAGTGGCCATGTTGGCCTGGAAATTCAAGTTGGCCGTTTTGCGGTGACCGACTGGGTTTCCAATTTAACATGCGGTTTTTATGTTACCGCCTATTGGTGCTGCGCGCAGCGCGCCGACGCGCGCGCGCGCTCGCGCGCGTGGTGATTTCTTTATTGTCCACATTCGATAAATCGCCATGTTGGCTTGGAAACTGAAGTGGACACTTAGCGGTGGCCGACTGGCTTTCCAAACGTTCATGCTGTTTTTACGTGACCACCGATTGGTGTTGCATGCAAAGCGCCAGCGCGCGCGCACTCGCGCGTGGTGGTTTCTGTATTGCCCGCAAGAAGAATCGTCATGTTTGGCTTGGGAACTGAAGTGGGCCCTTAGCGGTGACCGATTGGAATTTCAACGTACCATGCATTTTCCATGTATGTACTTGGGAAAACGCGCGCGGGCGCGGTTTCGAGCGTGGCGGATTCTGGTTTGGCCTGGTCTGGTTTGGCCTGGTTGGTCTGGCGTGGCTGGCCGACGCGCTGCGCGAGTCAAACCAATGCAAATTCCCCAGTTGCGAAAGAATAGCAACGCCTTTCCCCCCTTCCCCCCCCCCCGCTCCCTTTCCCCCTCCTGCCCCCTAAAGACCCCAGGCAGCTGACCAAAAACCCACACGTTAACTCTCCAAGCGGCCCCCCAACCTACCCCGCACCCCCCCCCCCCCCCCCCCCCCCCCCCACCCCCCCCCCCCACCACACAACCCCCCAACCCCCCCCTCCTTTCCCCCGATTGCCGCGCCACGACACCCGCCAAGGCCCGTCAGACCTATGAGACCCCTGATTGGGCCAAGCCCGCTTCACGCAACTTAACCTCCGTTCCTCGTTCAACCGGAACCGGGGGCCCGGTCGGCCAGAAGCCAACAGCCAATCATGTCCTGCAGGTCAGCGGCCGCGTTCGGGTTTAAAAACAGATTACCATGCCTTTGTTTTCCGTTCAGCGAGGCTGTCGGGTTAATAAGGCCGATAGATGCTGCTTGATCCGTACAGCGGTGCGGCCCCGGGCACCTTCGAAGAGAACTCGTTTTGCGAGAGCGCTGCCAGGGTTTGTGCCATGAGCCATCCTGCTGCCACATACGACGGGGTCATCCGAAGGCGGTTGGGAAAAAGCGGCGTCCCGGGAACAACTCGCCATTACAAGCGCGAGCCAAAACCATCAGCGCCCCGTAATAACCACGAGCAACAACTCAACACAACCGCAACCCACACAAACACAACCATAACCACAAACACAAACACCAACACACATACAACCAACCACCCCACGAAAAATGTAACGAACACCCCGTTGGAACCACTTATCGGTTCGGGGTTTTAAGAATAGGCCAGCGCATGCAAACCGCTCCAACGCCCATGTGTGTGGATCAATCCTATGAAACAGACACCTCATGCACGAGCGCAGCTGCCAGCACAGCCACCAGCACAACCAACAACGCAACCATTACCATGATCACCGCCGCAAGCACACACACACACAACCAGTAGCGCAAAACACCCCCACTACCCCAACAAGCCCCCCAAGACTCTAAGAGGCCTCCAAGATGCTCCCAATATGCCCCCACTCGCCCCCCCCCCCCCCACCCTCCCCCCCCCCCCCCGAAATAGCTACTCCGTCCTAAAGAAGCCGACCCAACTTGATTGGTGCATGTTTCTGGATGGGCTGGGGGGATACGCGAAGCGGCAAGAATGCTTGTGAATATCCTGTGTGTTCCGCAAAGCGACCCCTTGTGCCCTTGCGCGTGCGCGTGCGCGTGCGCGCGAGTCTTGGGGTGGGGGGGTGCACCGGGGGGGGGGGGGGGGGGGGGGGCATGGTAGGCGCAGAAGGACACATTGATTGTAGCCGTGCGGGAACGCATTGTAAGCTTAGGAGGACCCCTTGCCGCACCATGTCAGGTTTTGGAAGGCTGGTGCTCAGTTGGAGTCGGTTGGTTGCGGCCTGAAGCCGTCCCTTATCAATGTGGCCAACACAGACAATTGGATCAAGGAGGGAGCTAAGCGCCTCTTCGACTGCGACCCAGAGGAATGTCCCAATGACATGTCTTATCCAGCCGACATGGGGCGTGCAGAGAAGTACGGTGGGATTTGCCCATAAGAACCTGGGTTTGCCCGTGTGGTCACAGGTCCTAGGTCTCGTGGCGAAGGCCGCCCCGCCCTCGTTCAGTCAGTCCACCCTTTGCCCCGCGAGTTGTTTTTTCAAGCAATGTCATTCGGATTTCCTTGGGGGCGTGGCTCAAACCAAACTCGTTCGCGAAAACGGGGTGGGGCAACGTGTATTGGCTTCCGATTCAATGCCACATGTAATAGTGTATGATAAGCAACACCCACACATTGTTATAGTGTATGCCATATGTGTATCGCGTGCTCATAGCAATACACGTTGCAGACCACCCAATCAGCCCCACAAGGCTCGCAAGAGGGGGTTCAGGGGGGTCTTCGTCCACCACAGGTTCCAAGAATCTGTATGCTGCGCTGGTGCAAGACAGGATTGGTACCCAGGGATCTCTACCACTTCATATTTGCTTAAGTGCGCTGGGTGTGCGTCAGTGCGGGATGCTCACTTCAAATTTGGGGCTGGTGGTGAATACTTCACGATCGTGAGGGTCAGCCAGTACGCCAGAGGCAACTGGGGGCCACAGACGGCTGGGGGAGTTCAGTTAGTTTCGTTGCCGTTCAATGTGTTTCTGAAACGCTTTATCATGCGTGCCAGAGCCCAGGAAGATCACGGGGGCGATGATATCGATGAATTAAGTTGTGCGGTCTGCAGGCCGATCAGGGCGCCACGGGAACACAATAGACAGTTCGTCTATCGTTTAGAGCAGCTTCTTGATTTCAATCTGAGCCTGGTCGCAGTCAAAAAGAAGGCCAAGACAAAAGAGGACCCTGCCCCTGCCCCATGGTTGCCGTTCGGCATGGCACCCGTTGAAATGGAAGACGAGCCAGCTCCCGTCACGAAGGCTGGCGAACCCCCCGACCCGTTAGACGAGGCCGACCGATGCGAGTACCATGATGACTCTGGAGAAGAGTCCTTGTGTGATAACATTGATGTGTCTAGTGAGAGTTGCGCTGACTTTGATCCTGGTGATGGCCCACACGAGGCCGACCCAGAGCCGTTTCCTACGCCAGCTCCGCCACTGCCAGCTCCAGCTCCTGTGGAGCCTGTCGGCGAAGGCCCAGGCCCTCCAGGCCCTGAGCTCCCAAGAGGAGGCCTCACGTTGTACGGCATGGCCCCCGCTGGCCGTGCGAAGTGCGTCATATGTGACGGTGTGATTCCGAAAGGAGAGTGGCGGGTGGAGCACCGAATGCGAGATTCATCCAAACTCTCTGACGTGAGAAAGGTTCACATCAGGTGCATTCCTCGGCTGCCAGCCGAGTTGCGAGCGCATAGTTTTTTTGTTGCCCAGGAGTGGGCTCGTCGACCTGCCATCCCCCTTGCTGAGCAAGACATATTGAATACGATTGTCGAGGTGCTCCGTCCAGATGCAGGCGCTGCTGCATCCTCTGGAGATCCTGCTCCTGGACCGCCTGGAGCTTAGGCAACGAGTTTCCAGTGCGCCACTTGTCTCTGTCTTGCGCGCTGCGTGCAATGATGATGCCATAGGGTCGGGATGGGGGGAGAATTGGAGTAGCGAGTAGTAGAAAGGGGGGCTCGAGGAGGTGACGTCATACCGGTTGCGGGCTGCCCGCCATGGGTCCGCTCGCGGTGGAAACCTTGCGCCACCGAAGCCCTAGCCTAAGCTCGCTCACCCACCCAAGGAAACAGAAGTTGCACCGCCTAAGGGCCCGAACTGGGCCTGCCCAGGGCCGCCCAAACGTCTGAACAAAAGTCTGTTCAGAACTCCATCTTCTTCTGAACAGCCCCCCTCTTCTGAACGCGCGTTTGTTCAGAACTCGCCGTTTCCTTGAAAAAACACACGTGTTCAGAACAATTCTTCTGAACAGGAATTGTTCAGAGGTTTGTTCAGATGCAATCTTCTGAACAAAGCTCTGTTCAGAACTGTGCTTTTTTGGTTGTGCAAGGTCCCCGCGCCACGGGGTGCGAGCTTAGGTGGCAGGGGCGCGAGCTGCAGATGCGAAAACGTCGCAGCCCGCAGATCGGACTGAACTTGGCTCGCGCCGCTGTTTGATTTTTGATGCTGCTCAGCGCTTGAGCTCGATTGCGCGTGAGCCAGTCGACGGACTGAGTCGCGGAGCACGTGGCCTCGCCACCTTCATGGCCAAGAGACGCGCGGCCGCCGCAGGCATTGCCATCGAATCCTTCTCACTTCTCTCGAGAGGTCAAGCGGGCCCTCCCCCTGGGCCCCTGAGGACTTGATAACGCCATTAGTGAGTTAGTTGTTTTACCAACTTCGTCTTTGTTCATTTCCGATGTCTGGGGCACTCCATACTCGGCAAGTAAAGCCGCCCCCTAGAACAAGTTTAGCATTGAAAGGTTGATGGTGCAGGGCCCAGAGGAGAGGCCCACGTGCGCTGCCAAGCATCAATGCAACCTTGCAAACAAACAAAACATTCATGCGCCAATCGATGGCATCAAAACGCAGGCCGCCAACAACATGTTCTAAACATTTGGGCCGTCTGGGCGTCCATAGGCATGCGCACCTAGGACCTGGTATTATGAACAGCACGATTGTACGATCATACCATACTATGTTCGTTCGCAGCCATTTTGGCCTGGAGAAGGCTGCGACGCGCTGCGTCTGCAGCTTTCCAAATTGGCCAGCCTACAGGCCAACATATTCATTTCGGTATCTCGGATTCCAGTTTCCAGTTCGATGGGCAAGACAGTCGTGGTTCCCAAGTCGTGCGCGGGCGGCCTGCGCGCCAAGAAGACGGCCACTCAGCTTCAGACCCGGAAGAAGCCGAAAACTATCCTGGAAGAGACCGCAGAAGCTGATCCTGCAGAATGCTGTCTCTGTGGGCAGACCAGCCGTGACATCGATCGCGACGGCGATGGCATCGCTTTGGTCAAGTGGGTGAAGAATGATCGGAGCTCCGTGGCTGGCCGGCTCAGGCTATCAGGCAGAGAGTGCCACCACTGCTGGGACACCAAACGACGATTCTTCGACTGCGCACTCCAGGAGTAGGTGGACGAGAAGAAAAGTAACCCAACCTTAGGCACTCGATTCGGCCTCCTTCGGCGCGATCGCGCCAGGAAAGAAGGGGAGTTCAAACACGAGGAGAAGAAGACACTCAAAGGCCGGACCTCATCCGTCGAGAAGAGCTACGTGGACTCATTCGAGGAGGGCGGCTTCTACAAGCTCTCGGCCTTCTGCAAGATCTACAAGGTGCCCTATGCTCGCTCCGATGTGGAAGATGAGGTCATCGAGAAGATTCGCCATAAGTACCCCGCTGCAGAGATCTCCAGGAACACCAGGTTTCGCGCCATGGGCGTGTGGATGGTCAATGATCCGAACCCTCAGCTTGCAGATTACAGGTTTCGGCGCGGAGTCAAGAGCGGTGCAACCAACAAGAGAGTGGAGGAGCATGCTGATGAAGACCTTGCTGATGAGGCCTACAAGCAGCAGAGGAAGGTCAGGCGACTGACTAGCAAGGCCCCTTCTGCGCTGCGAGCTCGGAGCCACGACGTGGATGACAAGGACGTGGCCAACATGGAGGACGTCGCCGAGTCCGACGCCGACGCAGCAGAGTCCGAGCCACCGCAGCGGGCCACGTCGATGCAGTCTCCTTCTTCCTCTGGGCCAGGAATGTTTGCGTTGCCGTGCGACGCCAAGTCTCGCGACTCTCGTGGCAGCGCCGTGGAGCTCAGCGTGGCCCGCGACGGCGACGACGACCGCGCGGACGATACTGGCGGCTCTGTGGCTGGGGTGCGTGTAGGGCACAGAAATCTCTCCCCAAGCGTAGTTCTCCCCCTTACTCTCCCCTCCTCTTCTCCTCTTCTATTCCCTCCTCCCCTTTATTCTTTCCCCCTCTCTCCTTCTCTCCCCCTCCCTTTTTTTTTATTGTCAAGTTTATGGCTGGGCATTTCGTGTTTTTTGTACGCGTTGCTTGTATCTTCGTCTCTTGGTTGCCGGCGTGGCCAGAGTGATGAAAACGCTATTGACCCCCGCGTTAAAGAAACCCCCAACACAATCGCGGCCGGGCGCCGTTTTGGCGCTCGGGTTAACGCAATTGGTGGGGATTTCTGTGGCCTCGAAGGGCAATTCCAGCAAGAAGTGTAGTCCCAAAGACGCTGCCGTGGGCAGGGCCTTGCTCAGGCGGGCCAAGGCGATGGACGTCCATGATGCGGAGCAGCAGTGGAACAACCGCCCTGGGAATCGAACTCACGAGGCCGCCACCACTGCTCTCGTCAAGTCGGCTCGCGAGCTCACCAAGTTCCCTAGTGATGAGGCCTGCCTGAAGCTGTCTGAGGAGGTCACCATCCTGGCGCGCGAGATGCAGGATCGTAAACGTATATTTGATGAGCTGAAGCAGGCCCCCGCTGAGTTTGTCAACCAGGTGTTCTCGGATGATGATCGGAAGACGGTGCTATCTTTGAAATGTCCCCTCCTCGTGCAGATTATCCAACAGACATCGTTCCAATTGGCGCCCATTGACCCCTCACTCATATTGAAGCTCGCCGAGTGCCCAATCGACATCGTCCCCGACACAGATGCTCAGCCCCCTGGCTGGTTCCCGCTCTCACGCATGTGCTTGGGGATGGCCTTTCTATCCTCGGGGTGCACCGACAGCAATCCCACGGCCGAGACGGTCATCGCGCTGCTCACCCGCACGCAGAACAGCATCGTGGTGGACATGGTGGAGCGGATCTGCCTCGACGCGGAACATGAGGACAACTGCGTGGCCATGATCGAGGAGGTGCGGTCGGCCTTGCAGCACTTTGCGCCCTTCGTGTTCGACGATGCCGAAACGATTACGTACGAGCGCGGGGAGACGAAGTGCGAGGTGCAGATCAAGAACGGTTTGTTCAAGCAGGCTTACATCGACCTCTCGATGATGATCGTCGCGGGCGACGTCCTCAAGACCGTTCGTGCAGGGGGGGTCGTGTCAGGAGAGCTTCGCACCACTGCGAAGAAGATGATGGCTGCGATCAAGATGGCTTCGCCACGCCTTCGCAAGCTCGCCACGGCTGCAGGCCTCAAGGGCCCATGCAACTCGAACGCCATCAAGCTCGCATGGGACAAGTTGGCTGAGATGTTTCCTAGCACGGGCCCCACTGCAATCGCGAACGAGATCGATAGCGCCAACTCGGCCTTCCAGGAGAAGGTCATGTCGTTGCGCAAGGGCCATGCCGCAGCCAAGCCTTCCGATGGGGGAGGCTGAGGCGGCTGAGGCTACGGATCCGCGGGTGGACGCCTTCAGCATGATAGTCGACGTCACTGAGCACACTGGCGTGGTCGACAGACTTGCTTCCTTGTGTATCTACGGTGACGCTTCCGACTTCGAGGTGGAGGTCCACCGCGGCTTTCTCCTTTCTTTTTTTTTTTTTTTTTTTTTTTTTTTTTTTTTTTTTTTTTTTTTTTTCTTTCTTTTTTTTTTTTTTTCATTTCTTTTTACTTTTTTAGTTTCTTTTATTTTTTTTTTTTTTTTTTTTTTTTTTCTTTTTTTTTTTTTTTTTTTTTTTTTTTTTTTTTTTTTTTTTTTTTCTTTTTGTTTTTTTTTTTTTTTTTCTTACCAGGCGGCCGCCAAGGACCTGATCCTCTTCATTGTGGCCAACGCCGACGTCTACAAGCCTGCCCTTGGTTCGGGCGCGGCCGTGGTCTGCTTAACTTTGAGCTCGGTGATATTTCGATGATGGGGTCTCTTATGATATACGTCTGTACTGCATGGCCACAGACACGCATCCACATGTCACTGCAAGTTGCGTTGCCGTTAATCGCAATCGCGTGCGCCTGTTTGTGCAACTGGGTTTTCAAGGGCCTTTGCGCTCAAGTGCTGTCCGTGAGCGTTTTCGAAGGGCTGTGCGGACTACAACCTGTCTTATGGCAGGGGTCATTGGTTCCACGATCGTGCGAGCTTGCTTTAGCTTGAAGGGTGCCCCTGAATCTCCAGAGTCTCCTGAGGGGGAGGCCTCCGCGGGCCCGTTGCTCTCTTTAGCAGTCGGGGCCTATGGTGGGGAATGGGGGTGGGGGGGGGGGGGGGGCTCTCGGGGCCATCTTAAAGCGGGTTTGGAGCCATCTTGGAGCTGAGCAATGTCCAAGCTAGCTGGGGCACTCAGGAGGCACGTGTGGGCCGAAACCTCGGGCACAATTCAATGCAGGGGCCGATTTGAGGATATCGATTTATGAATGGGGGCCTTACCAGCGTCGCCCTCTAGATTCTAAATCCCCCTAGGCCGCCTCTTGGGGCCCTGTTGGTAGACCATGTGCGCTCGGGGGCGCTCTTGGGGCTTGGGGCCGTCTTGGATCTTGGGGCTGTCTTGGTCCTGTCGCGGGCCCCCCCCTAGACACCTTAGAACCGATTTTCAACGCCCGACAGAAGCGAAACGGCAAAATCACGTGTTTGTTGCACTAAGTGTTGGAAAGGGGTTAATTTGACCCTGCGGAGCGCCAGTGGGATGACCCATGGGTGTTCTAAGCTCGAGGGAACCTTGGGGTCTTGGGGTTCGGTGGCGGTGGTCGTTGCAGGTGGCCGCCGGCGCGTGCCATCGGCCAGCCGCGGCGGAGGTTTTAGTAGTTCCGTTCTGTCCAACCTAGGGAAGTAGCCATATCGGCTCGGTGGCTAAGGTGCCACCGTACATAGCGCTATCGGGGGATGGAATAGACAATGGATGGGCGTTGTTGCATGCCCCGCAAAAAAAACGCCAGCCGCGGTGAGGCCCACCATGCGCTTTTATGCGCCAGCCCACTGGTGCAACGCACAACGTGCCGACTCGCGTGCTCTCGCGCGTTGCGGTTTCTGCATTGCCCGCACTAAGACAATCGCAATGTTGGCCTGGGGGCCGAACTGAACCCTTGGCGGCGACTGATTCGGTTTCCAACTTCTAAACGGACATGCGTGCTGCACGTGTCCGTCTATTTGCACAGCGCGCCGATGCGCGCGCGCGGTCTCGCGCGCTCTGGCCCCAATCTTGCCCGCAATCGGACGGTCGCAATGTTGGCCTGGACACGAACGTGCGACATCAGCGGTGGCCGGTTGGAACTCAAACTGAACTCGCGGCGTCTACGCCTACGCGTCCGCATGTTGGCGCGGCACACAACGGGCCGACGCGCGCGCGGGCTCTCGGGAGTGGCGGTGCCTGTCAGCAATAGGGCAGTCGCCATGTTGACCTGGAAACTGAAGTGGGCCCTCAGCGGTGACCGATTTCATGTCCAACACCTCGTGTGTTTTCCACGTGTTCGTGCCTTTGCAGAATGGCAAGGGCGCCAGCGCGCGCGCGCGAGCGGTGCTCCCGCCTTGCCCGCAATAGAGGGCATATGTCACGCTGACCTGGGGACTGGACACTGAACTGAACCCTTGGCGCCGACCGACCGATCGGAATTCCAAAGTAACATGCATGTAGTTTCGCGTGTCTCCCTGTTGGTGCTGATTACACGGCGTGTGCGATTTTTCTAGTGTGGACAATGTAAAAATCGCGCGCGTACGATTTCTGTATTGTCCACAATAGAACATTCGCTATGTTGGCCTAGAAATTGAAGTGAACCCTTGGCGGTGACAGATGCGATTTTCAACCCGGCATGCTTTTTTTACGTGACCCCCTTAATGGTGTTGCGAGCAACGCGCCGACGCTCGCGCGCGAGATGTAATTTCCTCATTGTCCACAGTCCACAATGGAGCAATCGCCATGTTGGCCTGGAAACTGAAGTGGCACCTTAGCGGTGACATATTGGATGTTTAAGTTAACATACGGTTTGTCGTGACCACCTAATGGTGATGCGCAGGACGCGCCGCCGACGCGCGCGCGCTCTCGCGCGTGGTGGTTGATGTGATGCCCATTGCCGAACATAGCACATCGTCGCTTTGGCTTGGGAACGGAAGCGAACCCTTGGCGGTGACAGATTTGATTTCTAACCCAGCATGTACTTTTTTACAAGTCTGTTTTTTTGTGAACAATGCGCGATCTCGCACGCTGATGATTTTGTGTTGCCGCAGTGGGACAGTAGCCATATTGGCCTGGAAACTAGCGTGGACCTTCAGCAGTGACCGATTGGATATCCAACTGGACATGCGGTTTTTACGTGGCCGCCTATTGGTGCGGCGTGCAACGCGCCGCGCGTTCTCTCGCGCGCGTGGTGGCTTTGACAGCAATAAGGTTGCCGCCATGATGGCCTGAAGAAAATCTTCTCGGCCAGGTTTCCAACTTCACATGGGTTGTTTCACGTGTCGGCCTATTGGCGCAGCGCACAACGCGCCGACGCGCGCAAGCTCTCGCGCGCGGTGGCCCCAATAGTGCTCGCAATCGGACGGCCGCCATGCTGGCATGGGAACTGCAGTGGACTCTTGTCGGTGGCTTCTTGCATTTCCAACCCAACTTGCGGTATTGCGCGTCCGTCTGCGTGTCAAGCGTGCGGCGCGTCGATGCGCGCGTCGCGCGCGCGCGCTCTCGCGCGCGGTGGCGGCTGCGTTGCCAGCTGTAGGGCAGTCGCCACGTTGGCTTCGGAGTTGAAGTGCGCCCTTGGCGGTGGCCGATTGGGTTCCACTAGGACAGGCGTTTTTGTTCGCATGTCCGCCGGTGGTGCTTCCTACAAAGCACCGACGCGCGCGCTCGCGAGTGGTCTCTGCAATGTCAACAACAAGCAAGACGCCATGCTGCCGTGGAAACTGAAGCCCCCCCTGGCGGTGGCCGATTCGATTTCACACTTAACATGCGGTGTTGCGCGCGCCGCGGGATCGGCGCAGCGCGAAACGCGTTGAGACGTGACGCGCGCGCGCGCGCCCGCAGGCGGCGGTACTTGCATTGCCCGCAATCGAACAGTCGCCACGTCTGCTTGGGGCCTGAAGTGAACCCACAGCGGTGGCAACTTCGAGCTCCAAGCGAACATGCGGTTTTTACGTGCCCGTCTATGGGGGGAGCGCACAGCCTCACAGCGGTCCGACGCGCGCGCGCGTTCTCGCGCATGGGGGTTCTTGCCTTGTCCGCAAGGTGGCAGTCGCCATGTCGGCCTGGCAACTGGGGGACCCTTAGCGGTGGCCGCATTGATTTCCAGGCTGGCACGGTGCATTCCCGTGTCCGTTGAAGGGTCTAGCGCGCGACGCGCCGACGAGCGCGCGCGCGCCCTCGCGAGCTGCGCATCCTGCGCTGCGTTGCCCGCAGTCGGGCCGTCGCCGCGCTGTCGTTGGGACTAGATAAAGACTAACTGTTCGGGGTGGCCACTTGGGTTTGGATTTCCCGCTCCAGCCCACTGCTTGTAGTGCGCCCCCGTCTGTTCGTGCAGCGCGCAGCCCGCCGACGCGAGCTCGCGCCCTCTCGCGCGGTGGCGCCTGTATCGTCCGCAATGGAAAAGTCGCCGCTTTGGTCTGGGAGGTGATGTGGCCCCTTTGAGCGGTACACGACTTGAACTGGTTCACACCACAGTAAACATTCCGTCTATTGGTGTTGCGAGCAACGCACTGGCGCGCGCGCTCGCGTTCTGGCGTGGTGGTGCGTTTTGGCCGCATGTGAACCATCGCCGCGTTCGCCTGGAGACAGAAGCGAAGCCTTGGCAGTGACCGACTGGATTTCCAATTTAGCATGCGTGGTTTACGCGTCCGTCTGCTGGTGCAGCGCGCAGCGCGCCGGCGCCCGCGCGCGCGCGCTCTTGTGCTTGGTCGCCCCTGTATCCTCCGCAATGGGACAATCGCTACGTTGGTTTGGAAATTGAAGTGAGCCCTCAGCGGTGCCCGATTCGATCTCCAACTTAACATGCGTTGTGTTACGCGGAGGTCGACTCGCGCAGCGTTCAACGGCAACGCGCCGACGCGCGCGCGCGCTCTCGCGCGCTGTGGGTTCGTATTGCCCGCAATCGGAAAGTCGCCACGTCGCCCTGGGGACTGAAGTGGGCCCCTAGCGGTGACCGGTTGGAGTTCCAACTTGGCATGCGGTTCGACGTGCCCGTCTACTGGCGCAGCGTACATAGCATTGGCGCGCGCCTGCGCATGGTGGTTCCCGCATACCCGCAATAAGACACTTGTAATGGTGTTCCTTCAACCCGACATGGGCCCTTAGCGGTGGCGTATGTGCTCTCCAACTGAACATGCGGTTGTTTGTTTTACGCGTCCATCTGTTTGTGCAGCCGACAAACGTGCGCGCGCTTTCGCACGCGGTGGTTCTGTGATGTGCGCAGTAAGACAGTCGCCACGCTTGCCTTGGCAATGAAATTAACGCCTAGCGGTAACCAATTTGATTTCCAACGGAACATGCGTGGTTGACGTGTCCTGGCATTGGTGTAGCGTGCAATGCGCCAGCGCGCACGCGCGCTCTCGCAAGTGGTGGTGTCTGCGGTGTCCGCAACAGGGCAGCCGCCATGCTGTCGC